TTCACATACTTGGAAATCATGGATTTATTGAATGTAGTTCCTTATTGTTGCAGCCCTTAAATCAATCCCCCGCAGGCGTCGTCTTTATACCAGGAGATTATTTGCTGTTCAGTCAAAGTAATCACCACTGCAGGTACAGATATAGATAAACAAGATGAAAAACACTTTTAGCTTGCAGCGCTCCATATGGCAACATAAATAATTAACAGCGCACACACACATATACTCTTGACAAAAGCACAGCGTTAGATCCGTGTTGTGTGAGTGTTGATGTAGATATGACAAATTAGTGCCTGGTGGCTAATCAAAAAATATTGAACTATATTTAGCCACATTTCAAGCTGCCATGAAAGGAAAAACTCAAATAAGGTGAATTCCCAGATGAAAAATGGTTGGATTCTCTTTCATAGGTCTGCCAATTTAACAGGTAGTTTTATTACTTAAAAATGAATATGTACATCAAAAAAATAAAAAAAATTTATTAACTGAAGTAGACAAATGAGACAATACAGTAAGAGTATAGAGCTATAACATTTATGTGGAGTGTAAATTTCACATCATTTGGTAGAAATATTATGAATATTATAAATATACAGTAAATTAGCTCATATTGAGATTGTGGCAAAGCTGAGGACAGTTTGAGACATTGTTGCTCTGGAAAGGCAAAATAGAGATGACTGGGGTCTGTTTCTCATGAGAAGAGTCCTAAACAAAAGTTTCTTTCCATTGAATCCCATTGCTAGTAACTACTTACTCAGAGGGCATGCAATTTCGGACGCAGCCAGAATGAATTCTCGGAACTATATTTCACAGATACATATGTATCCGTGGCATAAAAAATAAAGGCAATTGCAACAATTCAGAATTTTTTCTCATCTTTCTGAGTTTTACATTTAACAGTTCAGACTTTTTTCTCTTTTTATCAGAATTGTGAAACAAACTCAGAATTGCAAGATTTAACCTCAGTTCTAAAAAGAAAAGTCTGAATTGTGAGATGATATTTTGCAATTGTGAGAAAGAAAGCCTTGCAGTTGTATGAAAAAGCTGCAATTACCTTTTTTATTTCTTATTCAGTGGCGGAAACAAGAACAGAATTGCAAGATGAAAACCAAAATTCTGAGAAAAAAAGTAATAACTGCAAAATGTAAACTCGGAATTCTGAGAAAAAAAAGTCAAAATTGAGAGATGTAAACTCAAAATTCAGAGGAAAAAAAAGTCAGAATTGTAAAATGTAAACTTGGAATTCTAAGAAAAAAGTCAGAATTCCGAAATCTAAACTTGGAATTCTGAGAAAAAAAGTAAGAATTGCAAAATGTAAACTGGGAATTCTGAGAAAAAAGTCAGAATTCCGAAATCTAAACTTGGAATTCTGAGAAAAAAAGTAAGAATTGCAAAATGTAAACTGGGAATTCTGAGAAAAAAGTCAGAATTCCGAAATCTAAACTTGGAATTCTGAGAAAAAAAGTCAGAATTGCAAAATGTAAACTCAGAATTCTAAGAAAAAAAGTCAGAATTGCAAAATGTAAACTGGGAATTCTAAGAAAAAAGTCAGAATTCCGAAATCTAAACTTGGAATTCTGAGAAAAAAAGTCAGAATTGCAAAATGTAGACTTTTAAAAAAGAATTAACATATATGGTTATGACATATAACCTCACAACTGCAAGGAGAAAAGGTCTGAATTGTGAGGTAAAAAGTAATTATCTTTTTTTTTTATTCCGTCACAGAAACAGGCTTCCATAGATATGTCTGACTGAAATAGAACTGTCAATGGCACAGGAGAGTGATCCATCAGTAACGTCCCAGAAGGAGAGTTCACAGAGACCACAGCGCTGTGTATCTGAGAAATCATGCTCATTCATTGGAACGCTTGTCTCTGGACATCTGAGACTTGCCCTGAATGAGAAGACCATCCTCTGAGATTGTGTGCTGAGATTTATGAGAATTACGGATGTGCAGTAGACTAAAGCAAATGCAGTGTACTCAAATTAATGGCCATTTAGTTACTTGGCAACACAGGACAAAGAAACATACTGCAAATATGAAATTACATACGTGTCAGCTATTAAAGGGCAAATATAACTGTAAAGCAATGGCTTCTCTACATAATGATGCAATTATATTTCACACAGTTTCTCACACAGTTGCCAGCAGGAAACGGAATCAAACTTGACTTCTTTAAGATTCTCAGCACAATATCGTTGCTCATAGTTCAGAGGATAATAACTTAATTTAGTTAGTTCAATTCTCTTACTGAAATTACCATAGAAAAAAACCATGGTAACTTAGCCACAATTATCATTCAAAATTCAAATAAAAAATGTGGCAGAAGCTATGAATACAAATGGCAAAAATTCATATATCACAACTGTCAGTTTACAGCCACATATTGCATACACTGTAATAATGTCATTTCCATAATACTTTTTTTTTTTTTGCTCTTCTGTGAAGCTTTTATTATAATACCCTTATCTTAAAGCTGTGACTGTCTTGTAATAATGTGAAGTCGTGGTCATGTGAAGCTGAAAACGTATATTTGAACCTGAGTGACTATACCAGCAATTGCTCAGTTAACTGTGTTTAACTCTCTGACGGCAAACAGTATTTGAATATAAATTTAGCTTGTCATCTCTTCTGTCCTGGAAGTGACAGTATAAAAGTAAAGTCTTGGCTGTCAATGCCAGATTAAATTCTCTCAGATAATTATATGCCGAAAAAAATTTATCTGAGATGCAGGGTTGCATGGTAATATTAACCGCAATTCATTGCCATACATTCGTTGCAGAATATGGACCGTTTTTATCACATTATATGTAATTAAAACGTTCGAATAACACATTCCAGTGCTCAAAGTTAAAATGCAGGCATGTTTTCTTTGAAAGCACACTTTCAAATTTCACAGATTTGAATTAAATTGTTAAAAGTCTATGTAAGTGTTGATTAAGATGCTGCTAAAAATTCATTAAGGCTTCTGTTTTGAGTAAAAGGTTTGTGGTAAATTTGCACTTACTAACATATTAACCCCATGCTATGCATATTTGCTTGTCCTATTATTTGTCCCTTACTATTTATCCCAATTTGTATTTTTTGTTAGGGATAGACATATGGAGGCCGTGCAACATGTTGTAATGTCAGACTGTACATCTATGTCAGTTGCATTTGTTAAAAATAAATATGGCATCTACTGAATAAAGTCCATTACTAACACCAAAGCACTAACAACCACTTAGAATAGTTTAGTAACACTATAACATCATGACAGCCAGTTAATGTTTGTATATTGTTTGTTATAGCTATGGATGGATGGATAGATAGAACAAGTCACCTTACAATTTTCAGTGAAAAATCATAAATTGACTCTCCACATCTGATGGGTTTTCATTGAAACTGAAATATTCTTCATAGTTTCATTTGTGAAACTAAGTTATCAGTAATGTACATTAGGACTTTGTGCTACATAATATGTTGTTGAATCCATATTTATTGCATTATTTTAGTGTCGTATGTTACCATGATGGTGTTTCATATTTGTGTATATGACAGTACACCTTCTGTATATTTAGTATTTACTTCAGTTTGTGGAAAAGCTACTTTGATTCTTCCTGTGGCTTTTGCTTCACCACCTGTATTTTTAAGGTGGCTGTCACGGCATATTATAAAGATTAAAAAAAACTGATTTTAGTCATTTGATATATTAATACTATTATTTCAGTTAATTTCTTTACTGTAAATTTAAGTTAAACATTTTTTTACAGTAAAATCATTCTTCTTTCTTGATTTTTGGGCATATTGCAGTGCCCTAAAAAAAACCTTTTGTGCATGTTTTTCAAATAACCCCACAGAAAGCACTTTAACCTTGGCAGTGTGTAGTTTGAGTGGTTCAGAATGTCCTCTGAATTCATTTGTGATGCACAGGTCTCTCTTTTGTGACTACTGTACTGATGGCGACACAGATCCCCAATCCCCTTATCCTCTTGTGTACAGCCTATTCAATATACAGACTCTACAGCAACCTGCTTAAAAGACAAACAGTCTCCTGATTACAAGGACAAAATAGCTGCCTCTTTAAAAGCTGTTTGAAAGAGCTGATTATGTTATCTAAAGACAAAACTGCTGAAAAAATCTGAGATGATTCATGTAGGCAGGTGATGGATGTGTCGTGAGGCTTGCGTTCAAATGCACCTGAACGAGGCTGCAGTGATTCTGCAAACATACTCCATCTAGGGAGAGATATTTGGAGAATTTCAATCAGCAAGGCCGTACCTTCATTTGCCGTAATGAGTAATTTTCCACCCATCTGTGAGAGGCCAGCACTGTGTGGGTTAATTAGCTGGATCCATCACGGCGAATGAATTGGAAAAGTGAAACACATTGACCCAAAATCTGTAGCATTGAATTTTTTTCCAATGAGCCATGGACAAACTGCTTATCAAATCTAATGCATAATTAAAGTGCATATTTTGCACCAAAATGCAGCAGATCTCGTTCAATAATTAATGGAGATTTTCTGGCGAGCGATAATTCTCAACCTCTCTTGAGGATGTTACAAGACAGTGGGTTTAACAACACTCCAGATGTGGTTTTGATATAGACATATGTCTTAATTTGTCTTAACAAGCTTGAGATTTAATACTTTTCTGCCCCTTGGCAACGATCTAAGTAAAAGATTGTTTTCTAAGATTAAATCAGATCAGATTGTTATGGACCACAGCAATACAGTTTGGGAATATTGTCTTTGACAATATGCTTTGTTTCCACTCTCAATGTATGCAACCTGCTTGCATTCTGCAGTGCATGTCAAATGCATCATGACACTCCTGCCAATCGGATTTGGGTTCATGTTGCTAATAAATAACTGTTTTTCACTGGAAGACAGATATGCTTTACAGCCCTCACATACACATTGATTTGTATGTTGCAATTGCAATAAGAGACTACAATTCATGCTTTCCAAATCAATATGTAATGCATGCTCTTTAGACATAGTTCCCTCAATTTTTAATGGTATTTTTTATTACATTTTGAAATAGTGAGACTGGGAGGCAAATTTAAGAAAGTAATAGATGGGATATATGAAGAAAACAAATGCGTAAGGATAAAATCAATGGAATTTACAGGTATAGTTACAGGCTTTCACAGCCATTGAGCTGAAATCAGTATGAAAAGCGTTTCAGCATGCATTATAGAATCAGAATATAGATCATACATTACATTGTGCTCAGGGGGTGTAAGTAATATCCTTTTCATACCGGCCTAATGAAGTGTTTAATAAGCATGAAAACCCTGGCATGCCTATTTGACAGGATGATCCATACAAGTATGGATAGGGAGACGGATGAGAACTTTAACTGGGAATAACATGGTATGTTCTGAAATAATGAACACTTAAGGCATGAATCTGTAATTGTCTTTCCATTAAACTTGGATGGGAAATATCTAGATCGACTGCTGTGAGAGTTTAATCATTTACATACAGAATTTCAAGGAACGTTTGACTTGTCCAATAATCACAGTTGAACCGGTGCTCTCTTAGTTAATTGCTGCTCCCGTGTGGCCATCAGTGAAAACAACCACAGAAATGGTGTAAACTAAGTAATTAGTCTTGAAGGAAATCCCTGAATCTTTGTGTTGGACCGTGCTATCGTATTTCATGACTCTGTAATGCAATGAATTATTTTACACAAAAGCCCAAACTCTCACTTGTGGAACATGCAATAGTTGCGCTCTGTTAAAGGAATATTTCGACACTCGTGTCGATCGAAGCCTGTATGGAAAAGAACAGCTCAGAGATGATACAAAACCTCTGTGTCTCACAGAAGCAAGCAAGTCATGCAGTTTGGAATGACATGAGGGTGAGAAAATGATGACAGTGTTTTCAACTCTTCTTTTAACAACACACAGTCAGTTTCCGTGTCCTTTGAGACTCACAGGATGCTGACTTGAAAGGCAAGAGTGACAGAAAGAAGGTTTTCAGTTTCCAAAATCTGAACACTGCAGGCCAGCTGGGATCACGAAGCCGGTTTTATTAGAAACAAACCATACAATACTGCTAGAAATGGCTCATAAATATCAGAGCTACAGACAGAAAGGCAGCTTACAAATTCCGCAAGTCTGTGTTTGGAACGGGGCATTCAACCCTGCACCGAAACACAAACCATCAACGGAGAGACGCGCACAGGGTCTAAAAATAAGCCATTGTTCTGCGCTGTTGGCTAGAGGCGGCGTTCGAGCTCTCATGCTTAATTGGCTGCATTGGCACTGCTTTCACCTTCCTCGACTAGGCAAACAAAAGTATCTGCTGCAGGTGTGCTAAAACCAGAGAGTTTCCTCCCTCCGTTCAACATAAGTCTCGTCACAGAGCTTCGTACACGTAAACATCAGATTCAAAGCAATAGTTCAGCCAAAGAACGAATGTTCAGTCATTATTTACTTGCCCTCATGTTGTTCCAAACCCATATTCTGGCAAATAGCTTTTGAAGAATTGTTGTGGATTTTGCCATAGGAAAAAAGCACAATAAAAGTAAATCGATATGACTTTTGCACTACATTCCAGGTTTTCTGAAGCCATACAATAGCTTTGTACAAGGACATTTAAGATTTCATGTCTAGAGCATTCAAAAATGGTGCGCAGAAGCTATCAACAACAAACAGCATTGGCTTATTGCTTAATTTAACTAAGATTACATAGGTCAGTGAATATTAATGACCTTTACTTTTGAATAATGGATATTAATGACCTTTAATAGTCTTATTTGATTATAGGAGAGCAAAAGTACTAAATCAAAAATGGTACATAAAAGCCATTTGTATAGCATATAGCTATTTTTTTAATCCTGGAGACAAATGTGGGCTAGGCAGTGAATAATGACTAAAAAACTGAAATGACTGAAAGCTTATATGGCTTCAGAAGACTTGGAAATAAAGCATATGGACTATTTTGGTCTAGATAATTCTTCAAAAAATTCCGTTTGTGTTCAGGTACCAAAAACAAAATCAGCATATGGGTTTGAAATAGCATGAGGGCGAGTACATAATAACTGAATTGTCATTTTCGTGTAAACTATTTCTTTAACTCACATAGCTAAATTAGATTCATTCTGATTAAAACAGTTACAAATGTCTTGTCTTGATGTATACTCAACATGTAGCGTTTACCAGTTTTTGTCATAATTAATCATTCAAGAATGACACTTCCCTTCACGCTTGACTCAATCTCTCTTTTCAAAGATCTAGGCTCAATATATGCATGATATAAATGGGGAAAACTGAGGGCAGTGCCAATGTGACCCTGCTGGCTGTGTGTTACTGAGAAAAAGATTGACGAGCAGAGGCTCTTAGGCAGCGCTGGACACTGCCAGCTTTTTCAGATGATCCATAAACACCTGAAGACTCACATCGTCTGTCAGAATGGGTGCGCCAGACTCCTACACAAACACAGGAAGTGTGATTCAATCAGCGGCGGTGTGGGTAAAACAATATTAGAACAAGCCGAGACGTGTTTATATTGTTGTATAATAACGGCTCGTCACAGTAGACTAATCAATATTCCTCACATAGGAAATGTGCTTGTGTTGGCGAGATATAGGCACTTACCTGACCCCATGCATACATGTTGTTGTGAGTTTGAGAAGGATTCACTTTGGAGAGGAGGAAACGAGCCTGGAGGGGGAGAGAACATAAATCTCGGTAAAAATTCAGACCCTAAAAACAGTTCACATGGTGTATTAATATGCAGAACAGCAGCCATGTCTCGATGACCCATTACAGTCATTTATTCACAAGCGCCGTTTAAAAATCTCCGAGAGCGAGTTGCTCAGGCGTAGAAATTGACTGAAGAGCTGGCGGAACAGCTGTTTTCAAAGTAGCACCTTCCATTTGAGCTGTCATTAATCAAGGCTTGAGAAAATGGAGGTGGCTTTGTGAAAGCAATTTATAAATATTTGCACTGACTAATGCAAAATTACTGATTCAAACAACTGTCGTTTGCCAAGGCACTCTCAAACTAACTATTTTTTTTAGAAATAAAAACCTACAGTTTACAGTGTAAATGCAGTTAATAGACCTGTCAATTGTTTTAAGTGGCATTTGCGCTCAAAAAAATGAAAAAGGTTCATTTTTGCTCCCCATAAATACATATAAGAGAGAGAGATAATTGAAAATGTCATAAAAATTTGGAAAAATATTGAAATATATATTTTTAGCTCATCATCGCTCAGCTGTACTATATATATATATATATAGAGAGAGACACACACACACACACACACACACACACACACACAACTGTGATCAGCTGACATCCATATTCAAGAGCCAAGTGCACTTAAATGTTGGCTGCAACACAGAATGATCTTTGATTTGTTATGCTGCTTGGCAACCATAAACCTCAGCCAGGCTAATGAACAATATTACTTGTCTTGTGAGATTTGCTTGTGTTTTTTTTATTATCACTAAAATAATCAGTTGAACTGTTTGTTGAAAATTGCCATCTTTTATATTATAACTGTTGTTGCCATTCCATTAAAAAAAACAAAAAACAGAAATAATCCACCACGGCACTGATTTTTTCCAGAATTAAGAGAGTTCTGCTCCAAAACTTGAGCTGACACCGAGCTGCCTACCTAGACAACAATTTAAGGCATCACTGGTGCATTCCCAACATAAAGGTTATGCCAAAATGTAGGCAGAAACATTGTGCTGACAAATCTGACATTGAGAGAACAATCCAAACCCAGAGAGAAGAGTAAAAAGTGTAATCCAAAAGTCAAGATACATTTCTGTTATAAATATATTTAAAAGTATTGACAAAAATCTAATTCAATGTAATTGAACCTTTCTTTTATCTATTTTACCAAATGCTGTGCTTATAAGACTAACTCTTAGCAACATTCTAATTTCAGACTGTATTAGAATAAACTGTAAATCAGGTCTCTCATGTGTTTAATATGAGTAGTCCAGAGTTGCTGACTACGTAGTGTTCCAAGTCAGTCACTTATCAGGCTCTATTTCTGTTAAAAGGCACCTTAGACGTTAACTGCCTACACTTAGGTTCCCCAAAGAACTTTTCATTGAACAGTTCTTAAAAGGACCATTTTTCTAAGTGTGAACAACATTTTAATAATCTAAAGAACCTTTTTTTCCACTATGAAGAACTTTCTGTGCAAATGAAAGGTTCCATGCTAAAGGTTCTTCATGGAACCATCAATGCTAACAAAGAACCTTTATTTTTAATAGTGTATGTAGAGCCCTATGAAATCAGTTTTATTTTTTCCCCAAGTTCAGTTTTCGGGGGGTTTTTTCTGTTTTAATTTTTCTCAACTCTGTTTTAATGATTAAATTAAGTTTTATTAAATCAATCAATCAATCAAATTGAAATCATGATACTTACAATTTCAAAATAACAATTTATTAAAAGTTTTACAAAAATTCGATTTTTAAGGCCCTATGAAATGTTTTTTTTTTTCCCCTCAAATTGAGTTTTATTTGTATTAATTTTCTGGATTTAATTTTAATGGTTTCATTGTATTTTAATAATCAAAAGCATCTCTAATTAATTGATTTTATAAAAAATAATTTTTTTTTTTTTTTTTTTTTTCTGAAATACTGTGTAGTGTATTTACATTTTTCTGCTACATAAATTCTGGTAAACAATTTTTCTGGTAAATATTCCTTTAAAAATAATGTTTTAATAATTTTATTAGTAGTAGTAGGACTATCATTACATTAAGAAATATATTTCAGTCACAGATTCTTCAAGTTTGCATATGATATGACGAGTTTTTCTCAAAAGAAACTAAAATGCTGATGAAGTGACTCTGAGCAGTTCTAGAGATGTTTATGTACTCATAAAATGAGGCGGCAGAGGCTGAAATCCCTGCGAGCATCATGCGTGCTTCAGTATGTGTAGTAAATGAAACCACGCTTTGCATCATTCATTCACACAGAGGCACGCAGAACATGCAGGATTCATATTTAGTATTACTGTGGCTTAAAATATGCACAGACACTAGTCCATATCATTTTGTTTTAAGTGTACTGACCTGCTTTTTGATTTATTCATCCAGAATTTGGCAAATTCCGTGACATTCGGCGTTATACAGTAAATTCAGTTTTTATGACTGGATTCCGCATTTTCCACATCACGGAAATCACAGGGCCCTATGTACGTGAAAGGTTTTGGGACAGAGCTCGTATTGCACAACATCTCGTGGCTTATTGCTTTATTTAACTCAGATTACACAGGTCAGTGAATATTAATAACCTTTACTTATGAATAATGAATATTGATGACCTTTAATATTGTTAAATCAATAAATCAGTGTAACCGGTTTAGTTTAGTGTGAGTGCCTCAGAATTATTGACGTCCTCTGTACCTGACTGCCACCGTGCTCTGTGTCGATGTAGCGTGGCATGGGGAATCGAGTGTGCAGAAGCTCTTGGGCGTCATCCACAGGAGCCTGAAGCAGGTGGCGGAAGTTCTCATACTCAGGCATGTCCTGGTACCCGGCTTTACGCCACTGAGACACCGTCTACATGATGGAAAACACAGTGCATCTGTCAGAAGTCATCCAACAAGGTGCCAAATGTGAAAATTCATCTTGTTTACTGGCGCTAGTAAATGTGACTCTAAGGGAACATCTCACTCCATTTGTTTAAAATTTCACTTCATTAGCATGTACTTCAGCGAGACACCTTCAAGTGTTTCATCAGAAAATGTCTGTCCTCTGAAACGCAGCCAAGTTTAAACATGTTTCAGTGCAAAACTGGCTCTGAATTCATTTGCACAGATTACTGAACAGTTCAGACCGAGACCAAGAAAGCAGACTGCATTCTTAATTATTGAAGAGATGAAAAAGACTTGGCTTTAAACCAACGTCTACCCAGTCACATGGGAAAACAAACCGCCGTGCAATCGGAAGGCAGAACATGCGCTGTGATTTTTACATCTTACCTCTCCGTGGTAAATCACAATCTGGAAGAAGGTGTCCATGAGGAGGATGCGGTCAGGCAAGATACTGCTGCTGTCCAGCAACACAGGCTACAACAACAGGAAACAAAGGCCATTATTAGACTGTCACTGTCAATTAGATGCTTTGATAAACATCTTTCCTAGAACTTCCCCCTTCTGGTCCCAATGTCAGGGGAAAACAGTAAGTGACAAAGCCCTCCATTAAAAGCAGATTAGAAATACAACGCGCAACTCAAACTGATATGTGTGTATCATCACCCTGATGTTGTTTAACTCACTGCTACTGAAGAACAAGCAGTACAGACCATCTGAACATTATGTAGAGTTCATAGTACAACCCATTTATACAAAATTTGCCTCTTGCGTTCTCCCTCTCAAAAAAAAAAAAAATTTGTGTGCTAATATGTGCAACCTTTATGCTCCCGAGTACAAATGGTACCATGCCTTCACTGATAAAAATTATTTTGTGGTAAAGTAAATAATACAGAAAAACAAATGTAATTTCTACATTAAATAATTTAGTTTAGGCAAGAATTAAAAAACAAACAAGTAAAATAGTTGAGTAAATTCAATATTAGTACTCAATTTAAGCTTGTAGAATTTAAAGTTTGAACTTGAGTATATTTTACTTGCAGTAGTTTGATATTTACTTAATCTTTGTAAAAAATAAAGTCATGATCCCGTTGTTCCCATCATGCACTTGGGCATGAATAATTAATAAGGTTAAATTGTTTGCTGTTTTCGAGATGTATTTACACTGTTTTATGGTTGCTTTTGTTGTTAGGTTAAGTAAGTTGCCGTTTTGTGACATCTAGAGTTCATTTTCTACTCAAAATGACCTATTCATACTCAAAAACTATTCACTGATCGTTACCGTCATTGTGTATCATGTGCCAAGTATTGAGGCATCTGTGTTTATTTGGGTAATAACTCTATTGAGTAGACATGTTGTCTTAAAAAGAATAAGGAGCTGTCTACTTGCTTATGTAAGTGAACCACATGCTTTAATGGCATTTTTTTTTTCAGTGCTATGTTGTTTGAGTAAAGTTTACAAACCGTGGCTGAGTGAAATGTACTTCAGTATTGCAGGGTAAACTTAAAATAATTAAGTAGAAATTACTCACCAAACTCTGACTGGACACGTTAAATTTACTTATTTCCTTTGCTAATTTTACTTAACTTAGTCAAGTAGATTTTACTTAATTCCATACTTACATTTTACTTCAAAAATATGCGTGCAGAAACTTAAGTAAATTTTACTTATTGCTTTTTTCAGTGTTTGCAAAAAAGCTTCAAGACAACATTATGAGCTTGAACGAAAATAAGAACAAAAAGATCACAGAACACTGTTTAATCTGTTGAGTCTGGGGACATCAAGTGCTCAGTCATCATGACACTGCACTGCACATTCAACGAGAGTCATGACACGTGATTGACTTTGAAGAAATAAATAAATAAATAAAACAAAATAAATTAATACTGATATTTTAAAAATTATTAAACTACTTACACATTCTATACACTGCCTTTCAAAAGTTTGGGGTCAGTAATTTTTTTTGTATGAAATTAATACAGTTATTTTGCAACGGCGCATTTAAAGGGGTCATATGATGCGATTTCAAGTTTTCCTTTCTCTTTGAAGTGTTACAAGCTCTTGGTGCATAAAGAAGATCTGTAAAGTTGCAAAGACTAAAGTCTCAAATCCAAAGAGATATTCTTTATAAAAGTTAAGAGTCAGCCACACCTACCTAAAACGGCTCGTTCTAACACGCCCCCACATATCTACGTCACTATGTGGAAATATTAGCATAATGCCTCCCAAATGTGCACCCAAAGAAAGAAGGCGTGGTTTCAGGAACAGCAGTCGTGTTGATGCAGCCATGTCAGGGAGACGCTGTGTTTCAGTGCGAAAGCAAAAGCACTTTATTTGGCCTTCCAGAAGTAGATACAATTAGGAATCATTGGTTAAGATTTATTTACAACAGAACAGCACAACCCAGATGTTCGAATTTGTGCAACGCATTTTATGGACGACAGTTTTTTGAACCTAGAAGAGTACAAGGCTGGCTGTGCACAAAGGCTATTTCTAAAAAAATACAGTATTTGAAAAATAATGTGTTTTTTGAACATTAAAGCATGTCAACATATTCTGTTACACCAAATACACAAAATAATGATCTTTAAAATAGCATCATATGACCCCTTTAAATGATCCATGTAGAAAATATATATTTAAAATGAATACCTTTTCTTGAAAAAAAAAATAATAATAATTCCCCTTTTCACAAAAATGTTAAGCAGCACAGCTGTTTTCAACACTGTTAAGAATAATAAATAACCAAATCAGCATATTAGAATGATTTTTGAAAGATCATGTGACACTGAGGACTGGAGTAATGATGCTGAAAAATTCAGCTTTTCCATCATAAAAATACATTACATTTTAAAATATGTTAAATATATTTTAAATATAGGCATGGCTAAAAAAGTTTATATTTACATTTACATTTAGTCATTTAGCAGACGCTTTTATCTAAAGCGACTTACAAATGAGGACAATAGAAGCAATCAAAACTAACAAAAGAGCAACAATATGTAAGTGCAAATGACAAGTCTCTGTTAGCCACGTAGCAAGGTATTTATATATATATACACACACACACAAAGAAAAACAAGTAGATAGAATAGAAAAAATAGAAAGCTAGTGTTAGTTTTAGTTTTTTTTTGTTTGTTTTTTATAAAAAAGATAAATAGATAAAGTAGAATTAAAATAGCATAGAAAGTGCTAGAGTTGGAGGGTCAAATAAAGATGGAACAGATATGTTTTTAGTCGTTTCTTGAAGATGGTTAAGGACTCAGCTGCTCGGATTGATTTGGGCAGGTCATTCCACCAG